CCTCCCCATATCCATATTCTTTTGGCCAACTTTTATCTTCTCATCCCACCCATCCTCAACCCAGTCGTCTATGCTGTTCGCACCAAGCAGATTCGAGAGAGACTTCTCCATGTTATTAAAGCAGGGACTCAGCCCAGGTGACTGCCCCAGGTCTGTGGGGCATGTAAATATTTAGTAATGATAAGAAGAGAGTCCTCTTAGGAAGACCTAGGAAATAACCCGGGTCCGACCTGAATGATGGAGAGCAGACTCGTAAAACAATCTTAAAGTCTATTCTGTTTGATCATGGGCTTTTTACACCGCAGAATGTGGAAAGTAGAAAGGGAAAGTAAGGTCATAAGTTCTTGTGCCACTCATCCCTTCTCTTTTCTACCTCTGAAATTAAATACACTGAGCATATACATACAGACCGCAATAAATGAGATCTCTCCTTTATTTTTTTATAGAGAGGTCTAGTTTCTCTATGAAGAATGTTATTTTTTAAATCAATTTCCGTAACACAGAATGCTACTCCACCACCCTCTTAAAGACAGTTTACATGTTTTGTTAAACATTTGCGGGGTTTTTTTTACTGCTTTGGCAAATTTTTCCAGTACTCTTGGCTTGCACCCCAAAAAATCTCATTTATTTAAGATAGAGAAAATATGAATATGAGGGAGCATTCCTGTGTTCTACTGATGATGCTAGGAGGCTTCATGCTTTCTAGGTAGGCACTCTACCATGTAATGAGCCACATACCAAGCCATTTTGGCTTTAGCTATTTGGGGGATAGGATCTCCTGGTTTTGCTCCGAAGAATTTAGTGTCTTTGGCCTGATTTGATCATTTGACCCTTGGTATTAATGATGAGGCTGGGAATTGTAAGAAAGAGTGAGAATGGTTATAGAGGAAAGGAGAGGAACACCCTAGAAAATACCTAATTCTCCCACTTCTATACAAGCCAGGTTTTTGTGGTTGTGGTTGTTTTGTTTTTGTTTGTACCAGTCCTGGGGCTTGCACTCAGGGCCTGGACACTGCCCCTGAGCTTTTGTGCTCAGTGCTCTATTACTTTGAACCACAGCCCTACTTCTGGAGTTTTTAGTGGTTAATTGGAGATAAGACTCTTATAAACTTTCCTGCCTGGGCTGGCTTCAAACTGTGATTCTCAGAGCTCAGCCTTCTAAGGAGCTAGGTATAGGCATGAGCTACCAGCACCCAGCTCACAACCCAGGTTTTGAGATTCACAATAAAAAGTAATGAACATCACAAGAGAAAGCTTATGTGTGATCTGGTGGTTTGATATTACGTTTCTGGCATTATCTGTCTTGTCTTCCAGGACTGAGGAAAGAGTCACATTATTGGGGGTTTTTTATTTTTATTTTTATTTTTATTTTTATCATCTTCAAGTAGTTTACAAAAGGGTTTCAATTCAACATGTCAATGTATAAGTACAATATATATTGATCAATACCACCCCTTTCATAATTCTCCTCATCTCTCCCAACACCATGCATCACATCAAATTTCCTAGATCCATTTGCACGTACATGTCTTGAATATTATGGCTATATTTACTACCCTCCCTCTCTCCATTTGTCTGCCCCCCTCCCCTTGGCCTCACTCAATGAGTCATTTTGAAGAAATTCCATGTCCATTTGACTTTCCCTGACAGCCACCAGATCAGAGATTTCTTCCTTCTTTAAGCAATAGATTCCTGGTATTCTTCTAAGCACATAAGGAAGAGAGGTCTACTGCCTCTGGGCCCTTGTTTTTCCATCAAAATTTGACCCTATACTCTGCATTTCTACCTTTATGTATTTTGTTTGCTTCTCTTATATGACTAATTGTACCTATTTCATTGACTTTGGAACAGTGCCTGACATGTGTAATAATAAATGTGGATGTTAGCCTACCTTCAAAACCTTTGAGGATAAATTAAGACATCACAGGCCTTAAAGCCATGGAAGGCTTGCTTATGCAATAAGAAACAATCCTCATTTAGGATGTAACTATCTTTCTATGCATAGTATAATGGGACCACCCTTATAAATGGTGACTCACTTAATATTCCTGACTGTTTGGTCAGTCAGCATGGCAGATTTTACAAACAAACAAAAAGATATGAATGTACAAGAGGAACTTGGAAGGGGGGGATATAACAAGAGAGGCTGATAAGTTGAGTATGATAGAAGTACATTGTACATAATTTACGAAGAATGAATGATTGCTCTCTTGCTTTCTCCCCCTCTCCCCCCTGTCTCTCTCTGTCTCTATCTGTCTCTATCTGTCTGTCTTCATTTCCATCTCTGTCTCTCTCTGTCTCTCTGTCTCTCTCTGTCTCTCTGTCTGTCTCTGTCTCTCTCTCTCTCTCTCTCTCTCTCTCTCTTTCTCTCTCTCTCTCTCTCTCTCTTTCCCTTGCCAGCCTCACCGAGTTAAACCTATAGCATGACTTTCCAGTTAGACAGGAACTGACTATAAGAAATGCCACTGAAAAAGATTTGGAACAGGGGTCTAAGACCTGAAGGAGGTAACCTTCTGGAAACTTTACCTGGACAACACAAATCAGTGTTATATCTTTACTGCAGTATTGTTAAAGAAAATATTTTTTGGAAATAATATGATTGGTTGATTAATTTTGTTTTCAGCCGCTCAGGAAACTGGATTGCTAGTTTTAGATGACAGACACCAACCATAGTCCACATGTAAAATTATTTTATTACCAAAATGAGTTGGATGAGGATTTTTGCAAGGATTTCTCCTTCCCAGAATATATTCTGGTTCAGTCCCATTGGCAAGGAAAGGTGAGTGGGTGGGAGTGAGCTTTTAATAGAGTACATAAACAATTGATACAAATATGTTAAAGTTAAGTTAAAATGACATATCTGTGATAGCATAGATAGGTGAACAGAAAAGAGGTAGGTCAGCAGGGAGATTTTCACTCAAAAAAGACATTGTTTTCTCTGCCATCTTGAAGCCTCTGGAAGCTTGCTGGGAACAGGACTTCTAGATGACAAAATGTCAGGAAGGCTGTGGTGCAAGTCCATTTCTGAACACACCACTCTCCTTGAAATTGAAGGTGGTTATGCCCTAGGTGATACCGATTTCTACTTAGGCAAGAGATGTGCTTAGGTATACAAAGCAAAAACAACACAGTGACTCCTGGCGGCAAACAAAACAAAACCAGAGTAATCTGAGGAAAGGTAACTCACATTCATGGAAACGGTGCAAGGGTTCCTGCTAAATTTTGAAGCAACCATTGGACACAGATTCTATGTGATGCTGTATGCCTCCAGAATTTAATGAAAACTAAATAAACTTGTGCTCTTGTACTTTAAAAGAAAGTCACTGTTCATTATTATTATTATCAATTATTATTAACATTATTACTAGCTGTGTTTGATGCTGTGGAGGCTTTGTACAAGGCTGAAACTGCATTTCCCAGGATTGTTTTCCCTCTGTGATTCCCAGTGAGGACTGGCATGAAGACACATTTTTGTAACACCAAGAAGTAGAAAAAAAGAGCAATCATTATTTTCTGAAGGTCAGTGTAGAGTACAGACTCTGCTTTGGTTTATGCTCCTTGTCACCAGTTTTCAGATATCTCCCATTCCTTCCATTCCTCCAAGTCTTTTACCAGGGATGCTGTGAATCTCTGTGGTAAAAGCACTAGTATAATCCCCTTCAGAATAAGTGGCTTATCAGCTCTGCTTATAGATTCCAATCATCCTCATTGATTGTTCTTTTTTGAGACATTAATCACATCCAGGTTTTCTTCCTATTTACCATGATGATTTAAGGCCTAATATCTAAAATAAACTCCTAATTTCATTTTACTCATAGGGCTTCTGCCTTCTTGATCAAACTCATTGACATATCAGGCTTTTTTCTGCATTCTGTCCCCTATCCAATCCAAGGCAGCAATTAAATCTATGATAGTCAGAACTCTAAAGACAGTGCATGTTTTTAGAAAAGTCACAAAATCACTTTTAACTCAATTTTAATGTTTCATTATCTTCTTGTCCAATCCTTTTGGCAACAAGAATGGTATCTATCCATAATGCTAGGATGGCTTACTTCTGAAGGATCCTTTTTCTCAAACTGTTGTGTAGAAATGGAATCATTCATAAGATCTGAAGTACTATAGAAGATAGCTTTGTTGTTAACCTAATATAACTATAGTCTTACCTTCAGATGTCTCAGCGTGAAGGGGGAAAGGCATTACTATGGTTTCCATAGTCCATAATTAAAATATGGCACCCAAAATCCATGCAGTGGCTCATGCCTACAATCATAGCTACTCAGAAAGCTGAGCTCAGGAAGATCACAATTTGAATCATATCCCAGGCTAAAAGTTCAACCAATAAAAAGCTATGTACATAATAATAAAAATAAAAAATTATATGCATAGTTGGACATAGAAGGTACATCAGATGTATGTATGCCCGTGCATACATCTCAAAAAGGAACTTAATAATTTGATGTAGTAGAAGGCATAAGGCTCATTATAAGTGGCACTGGCCAAGTACACAGGCAATAGCATTGAAAGGCAAAAGGCAGAGAAGCAGAGGCTGAAAGTCATTGATTAGAAGAGATGATAAGGTGTTTGATGGTGTGTCAGTCCTTAGGTCACCAAATTTGTAATTTATTTGTTCACTCATACTCTGGATGGAGTAGGCACCACAATCTTATCAGCTTGGGCCAATCCCAGCAACTATTTCTTCTTTTGTCCATGTAGCTAGCAATGTCATTTTAGGAATTCTTGCTTAATCAAATGATTTGTGAGTGTGAAAAGATGGGATGGTCACACCTTTGCTATGCGATGGACTCCAGGGGCACACCCCCTCTGAGCTGACTTGGAGACCTCTGAAGAATGGGATCTCCTCCCTCCCCTAACCCTCTGTCTCTCTCGGGAGAATTGTTAGACAAAGAATTTCTGCAATTATCCTAAGGCTTTTCCTTTCCATCCAATCTATCATCTATCATCCACTCAGGACAAAGCTGGTAAAAAAGAAAAGAACCGATCTACACACCCTTTCTCTGAAAAAAGCTGAGAACATGATCACGAATCTGTTTCGTCTTGACACCATAGATAATGGGATTAATCATGGGTGGGAAAAGGAGATAGAAGACAGCCAAGAGTATGTGGATGTGAGGGGCTGCTGTACGAGCAACACGGTGCATGACCGACGAGATGACTACAGGTGTGTAGGTGGACAGAATGGCCCCAATGTGAGACACACAGGTCCCAAAGGCCTTGTAGCGGGCTTCCTGAGAAGCCAGCTGTAGAACAGCACGAAGGATGAAGATGTAAGACAAGATCACAAACAGCAGATCCAACACCACAATGAACATGGCCACAGCAATGCCATAGATATTGTTGAAGCGCGTGTCCCCACAGGCCAGCCTTACCACTGCCATGTGTTCACAGTAGCAGTGGGCAATCGCTGAGCCTCGACAGTAGTGGAAGCGTCTGAGCAGAAAAGGGAGTGGAGTCATGAGTGTCACAGCTCGAGTCATGGCGGCCAGGCCGATCTTGATGATAAGGGACTTGGTCAGGATCGTGGCGTAGTGGAGTGGTTTGCAGATGGCCACATAGCGGTCAAAGGCCATGGCCAGCAGCATTGCTGACTCCATGATAGAAAAGGAATGGAGAAAGAACATCTGGATGAGACAGGCATAGAAGTTGATTTCCCGGTCTCTGAACCAAAAAATAGCAAGCATTTTGGGCAGTGTGGTAGAAGAGAGAACTAAATCAATGGCTGCCAACATGGCCAGGAAGAGGTACATGGGCTCATGGAGGGCAGCATCAGCCTGAATGATTAAGAGAAGGCTACAATTGCCCAATAGGGCTAAAGTATAGGCAATACAGAATGGGATGGAAATCCAGATGTGTAGGTGTTCCAAACCAGGAATTCCTACCAACAAGAAGGCCTGTGGATGGCCCAAGGTGATATTGAAGGCTGACATGGCTCCCAGAAAACGCTGAGTTGATTTTTACAGGATCATTTCACTTTCAATATGTGCTTTTCACAGTATGCATGATAGAGTTCAACTTCTGGTATGCCACCTTCAAGGCTTAGGTCTTGTTCCCGTTCCCATTGTTGGACTTTGAACAAAGTCAACTACAAGTTCTCATAGAAATAGGGATACATAATGCTTGTTTCCAATTCTTGAGGAAATTTGATAATTATTGAGTGAGGAAATTTGATAATTCTTGAGTAAGAGAATATTAAATAGCCACAGAATTCATACGATAACTGTTATAAAGGAATGGAGAACTGGCCATGTTTTCTCTCTTCTTGATATGGGGGATATCTTGGGGGAGAAAAAGGGAAACAAAATGTTTATATTAATTCATTTCTTTAGCACATGCAGTTATATCTTCCAGTCAAGATAAAGTCCTAAATACCAAAGCCAGTTTTCTCTCTTTAAATCTCAGACTTGTGTTCACATACAAGTAAAAAAAGTATATTTTTAAGAACAGAGTATGTTTTCTCTGAGACTCTTCTGATATGGTCCTGCATATGTCACATGCAACTATTTACATTTTTTGTGTGTACCAGTCAGAGGCCTTGAACTCAGGGCCTGGATGCTGTCCCTCAGCTTCTTTGCTTAATTTGTGCTCTACTACCTGAGCCACAGCTTCACTTCCAGCTTTTTGATGGTTAACTGGAGGTAAGAGTCTCACAGACTTTCCTGCCTGTGCTAGATTTGAACCATGATCCTCAGATCTCAGCCTCCTATGTAGCTAGGAATAGAGGTATGAAACACTAGAACCCAGCTTAAACTTATATTTCCTAAAAACAAAATATTCTTTAGACATACAAAACACTTCAATTGCTCAGCAGCCACATAACTAGTAACCATATTACCATCATTGCAGAACATTCCATTCAAAAGATTAGCTCTAACCCAGAAACACAACAAATCAAAGAAAGGTTGGACAAATGGGATTGCTTGAAACAGCAGAGCTTCTGCATGGCAAAGGACATAGCTAGCAAGATCAATAGAAAGCTCACGGATTGGGAGAAGATCTTCACTAGCCATACAACAGACAAGGGTCTCATATCTAATATATACTTAGAACTCAAAAAATTAAATCCCCCAACAACAAATCCTCAAATAAACAACTGCCCAATAAATAGGTGGGCTAAAGACTTAAAGAGAAACTTCTCTGAAGAGGAAATAAGAATGACCAATAGACACATGAAGAAATGCTCAACTTCTCTAGCCATAAAAGAAATGCAAATCAAAACAACATTGAAATACCACCTCACCCCAGTTAGAATGGCTATACTCAAGAACTCTAATAACAACAGATGC